TGGTGGTGGGTGTTCTTATGTGGCTTGTTTCTCCAGAGTACTTGTTGGAGTGTAGAGTAGCTCCTACTGCCACTCATTCAGGTACCCCCTCTTCCTCCTTCCACCCCTATCCCCACCGCCGGTTAATAAATACGAAAGCGGGAATTAATGTATGGACGGCACGGAATATTCTGATATGGCTTGCTTTTTTCTCCGAAAACGTCTTTATTAGAGTAGCTTCTAAAGTCACTCATTGAACAGCCCCCTCCCAGCTCTAGGAATGAAAGTATGAAAGTGGATATTTATACGGCAGGCTGTCGAGAAATCGGACGTGATAATTCCACGGCACTTAAATTCAGTCTATCAGAACATCCGGACTATTTATAATTAAGCCTATAATCTCCTTTCCATAAAAGTAACGCATTATTATAGATACAATTTAAGATACCTGTATGTTTAGTTAACAATGTTTATCCTTTGCTATCATTTTGTGCATTATGGACAATGGTGAAATGTTTTGTGTGATTGTAACGAGAGTGAGAGATACACAATTTATTTTGTGCAAGCAAAATGAAGAGAAGACAGTTTTTTTCCAACAGTAGGGTGCCCATATTGCGGATGGGATCGGGTCGGGTCGGGTAGGTATGATCACCCGACTCGTCGCCTGGAAAACAAACACAATTCTTGCATTGATACACTTCAAGCAGAGCCTATGTCGCCGAAATATCAATTCCGATCTTTTGACTCAAGACGGCACACCGTATCACTTCCTATGTTCAGACAGCATGCCGTGGAAATATCAACTACGATTTTCAGACGGCATGCCGTCGAAATATCGCTACCCTAAAAGTATATGATTTGAGTACCTTGAAAGTCAAGGGAATGCAGGCTGTGTGATATTTCTCTTTTTTCCCCGGGGGGGGGGGTTGTGTCAAATCATCCTGCACAAAACCAGCTAAATTGAGCAGTACAAACCAGCCAAATTAAGCAAAACAAACCAGCCAAAAGGAGCAATTTTTGCAGCATGTAACGGGATAAAATGTGCGTGTGCACACCGTGAACAAAAATGTACCCTGAAAGCAACCCCTTAACAGAATTTCCAGCACATTGAGCACACGTTCAGATAACAGGCAAAAAGTCAAATATTGCTAAATTGGCTCTATCCAACTGGTCTTCGTTTTTTATGTCTCTTTTTCTTTCGTCCGCTTTGAGTCATGAGAAGCTAATCAATGCTACAGTACCGGCGTCTGTGGTATAGCGGTTAGGCACTTCGCTGTCGCACGGAGGAGGCCCGAGTTCGATTCCTGAGTGGAGAGAATTTTTATCGAGTATTTCGATTTTTCAGCAGGGGGATGCTGTACTGTATAGTGTATAACTCTCAGCCCGGGTCGGCCCTCTCTTCTTCCTTCCTTGTTCCTTCAATGATCTATAAGCTCTTCGTCTAGGTACCTAAAGGAGTTTTTTTTTGTTTTTTTGGTTGTTTTTTTTTGCTTGTTAGTTTGATCGAGTAACCGAAAAAGAAGCGCGTCGACACAAACATTGTCATAATTTAGTGCTAGGAAAATGTAAGGCAATTTCTAACGAAAGACAGAAACAAACAGCGGGCGAAGAAAAGAAGAAAGATCACCCAGAGCACCCCCCC